TCACCGCCACCGTCACCGCCACCGTTAACATCACCATCATCATCACTGTCGTCGTCGTCCTCCTCGTCGTCGTCATCGTCGTCGTGGTCGACGTTGTATCTAGAAATGGTACTGTCCAACCGGGCTTTCTACTTTCGAGAGGAAACGCCGACGAACACGGCACCGACACCGAATGGGCCCCGATCGTTTTTGGAAAATCTACACTTTTGAGAAGCTGGACCACCTCGTCGCTCGACGTTGCTAGAAGAAAAAGAGTGTGGAGGACGAGGAGTTGGTGAACAAGAAGAGAAGGAGGAGGAGGAGGAGGAGGAGGAGGCGAGAAACGGCACGCGGTCGAATCCACCCGTTGGCGACGCGTCGATCGTTCAAATTTGACATGTGACCGCCAGAGCGGTGTCGCGTTTACGTAAGTTGTTTCCCCCGAACGGACGCTTCGCAAAGGAATCGCTGATTCTGAGTGATGTAAGGATTTTTCCTTTCTCGCGTTCACCTTCGGCTTCAACAACGAGGAAAGAAAACAAAAACAAACACAAAAACAAAACAAAAAGTCGCCGAACGCCGTACCGCCAGCTCACCGCTCGCGATCGATGACGTCGCGACAGCTGTGTCGCCGCGCCAGTTGACAGCTCGCTCGACTCGGAGCTAACCTCAAATTCGCGCGAGGTCGGCCGTCGGACGACGACGCATCCTTGACGTCGGGCAATCTATCTATCGACGAAGCTGCGCGAATCGGAGTGTCGTCCGGTCTCCCGGACGGACAAAGCGATACGAGACTCCACGAGGAATCTCGTAGTTGGATTCTCCAGGAGGATCAATCGGTGCGAGGAACTCACCGGGGCCATCTTTCTCCGTCGGGTGCGCGCGCGTGTGCGGAATCGAGTGCGAGGATCTCGCGGAAACTCCGCACCGCGTTACACTGAGGAATTGTGTGCGCGTGTTAAATCCCGGAGTAGCCCCTATCCACAGGAAGTTATCTTCGATCCAAGTTCTTTCCTGGATCTCGATTGTTTCCCGATCAAGGACCTCTCTCTCTCTCTCTCTTTCTCTCTCTT